AAGATTATTAAAGAGACATTCCTAGATCCTTTCTTCTCCCCATTCTAGCTGTCACCATAGAACAATCAGACTACAAGGCTAAGCAATCACAGAATGCTCCTGCTAGGTTTACTTCATCTTCCTGAGCAGAGACATTATCATTCCCATTTCCTCTGGAGCACAGCACAGATTAACATGTAATCTCAAAAAAAAAGAACACAGCTACTTGTTGGATTCTAATGGGAAAAGGAAGACATTATAAGAGCTAAGCTTGACATTTCTGTAAAACTGTTTAATAATTTACTGCTAGGCTTTTATTCTTGCTTCGACTATTAGCAAACTCCAAGGTAAACTACTGCCTGCCACAAGGAACAGGGAAGCATGGAATGGAAACAAAGCCACAGGAAGCAAAGTGACTTCTAGACTGCCCCACAGCAGACATCCATTTTCACACACTAGGGATGCCAGTTTAAGAGCTATTTGCCAATGTATTTTATAATCTGTTTTCTGAGAGAGACTAAACAGTTTATTTTATATTCCATGGATGTTTTAATGCATGTTTAAGAGCCAGTAAGCACCTTAAAAGCCTTTGCTGGCAAAAAAATAAAATGTGTCTGATTGCTGAATTTTTTTGGGGAGGAGGTCTCCTTGGTTTCTTTTTGACAACTTGATGAACATCAAAGAAGGTGATTACATGTCAGTGGGTGCAAGACCACAAGTCAAGTATAACAAGAAATACCTTGCTGTTCAAATTCAGACTCTCTCTTAACACTGCATAAGTGGCCTGTTGCTAACACTTGGGTTGACCCTAAGTGATAAGACCAGCCAGTCTATTTTTGCACACTGTAAATGCAAAGAAGCATATGCAATGTCAGTTCAGACCATAACAAAATCTTGCTTCTCCTTGGGGTGGGTTCAGCTACAGAGGTACACAGCAGCACAGGGTGGTCTCCACTGCTCATACAAGGGTTTTCCCTGAGCCACAAAGCAAAGACATGGAAATCTGGAACTAAACACCTCCAACAGCATACCTGGTAACCATGTTTAAAATAACAATCTCAAAACTGTTGGTCACTTTCTCTCACCACCCAGGACTATGCGTGGGACTGATACCAGGTTAACAGGGTGCTGTTCCCTGTCCTATCAACAACTTCCTGCATGTCCGTGCACATGTCACACAGATCAGTGCTTTTAAGGAATACTACACTTCCAAGTGTCCTGTTTGTCATATTCAAGACCTCATTTTCAGAGAAGCTGAGAATGTAATTCTTCCATTCCCTTCAGTCTGATGCAGGGATGTTGGCTTATGTCTTTCCATAATTTTACATCTTCCCAAAATGATGTGGAGCTCAACTGTGTGTAACACATTTCCAGCCTGAAAGGAAGGATGTTATGGAAGCACAGAGCATATATAAGTATTATTATTTACAAAGCTACATTGGGAACACAAAGATGCAGACATACCTAATTATTTTAAGACTGAACATTGAAACACGTTTCTTATTAATGCACACAAATATAGAAGAACCTAAAGATGCTTCTAATTAAGCCTCAGATCAAGCCAAACAATTCATCTGAAAGGACACAGCCTTTATCTCTGATGGTCAACTGGACTTTGACATATTTGCACTCAGGAATATGGGTGATTTCTTTCAAAGAAAAAGAAAAAGACATCAGGTGGCTGGAGATTGAACTGGAGGTTGAAGTCACCCAGATAAAGAGTGAAATAAAGCAAGAAACTGATGTCAGAGAAGAAGGCAGATACAAGACAGGTACAGAAGAAGGGCAGGCATCCACAACTTGTAAGGGAAAAGAAGAAGAAAAAAAGAAGAATTGATCATAAAGCACTTGAAGAACACAGTCATGAAAGCAGAGGAGGGGCTGGAAGTGACATGCAGTAAAAGGCAAGGACCTCATAGTGTTCAGGGACCTATCTCAGCTTTGAGAACATTATCAGGAAGAAAATTTTCAAAAGGAAAGCAGTCAGCAATGAAAAACCTAGGAGAGCAGAATAAAGCAATATATAGGAAATAGAGGAATGAAAAGCAGAGGAACAGGTGAAAGGAGCATAGAGCTGGAGGAGAATTAGCCATGAAAGAGACAAATACAGAAACCTGGGGAAGTGATGCTCAGCAGAAAAACCAGCCTCAGCAGCAAGTAGCGGGCTTGCTTCCTGCCTCCCTACTAATACTGGCATAGAGGAAGAACATGTATGAGGGAGAAGTACAGAAGCTTACTCACATATTTTCGAAGGAGATTTTCTTGTCAAGAACTGGGATCTAGACCTTCACTCATCAATTAATTTTCTAATGGCCATCAGGGCTCAGTAAATACCAATCATCAGGCCATGATTAGGCAGTGAGTAGTGCAAAGGACTGCCAGGACTCCCAGAGCCACTGAGATGTGGGCTATATTTTGAGTCAGGAGAAATGAGGCAAAAGACTCTGGACTCCAGAGCCAGCTAGTCAACCACACAATTACTCCACTGCAAGAATATTCTAGTAGATAAAAGGACATGAAACAGCAATCAGATTTCACAAGGTCAAGGAAAATCTAGGAAAGGAGATACAGGATAAGTTAAAATTGTCTTTTAAGTTATTGTAACAAAAATTATGTGAGAAGCCAAAAATCCTAAGAGTTTGCACAGTTTATGATGTTTCAAGAGCTTTAAAACAAAATTCATGCCTTTACAACACATTATTTTTTTCACATAACATATGAATCAAAGGCTCTCCATTTCAGAATATTTGAGATAGCAGCTACTGAAAATGCTTGAAAATATTTATGTAGAAATTCTAAAAATAAAAGAAATTGAAATTCAGAGCAAGCGTTTCATCTCATGTTTAGTTTGTATCATTGTTATTATTAATAGGTTTTACAATTTTAGTATGAACATCTTCATCTGGACTGGATGTGGGTTTTGGGTCTGAATTTGTGCCCTTTGCAAACCTTATAAAGCTCTTTGTAACTTGATAATTACCAGTACTTCTTAGTAGAAGACTAGGAATGCCACAGTGATGCTCTGTCTTACTCTTGCCTACAGTAAAGCCTGCAAGCCCTCCTACCATGCGTGCAGAAACACCCAAATAGCTCCCAAAGACCTCAGAGGCCATGAAGAACCATGTCAATACTTCTGGATTTTGTGCTCCAACCCGCAGTTGCAAAAGCAGGGAGATGTGATCGGGCTCTGCAAAATCAGTTCGCACTCAGCGGGCTTTATTAGCTCAGGCCTGAGAAGTTGCATAGGTCTGCACAGAGTCTATACAGCTGTGGTGTGGATAAACCACAGACAAGATGGAACACCCTTGGGTAACTAGATGGGGATCAGATGATCAGCAAGGGTTGCTATTCCCCTGTTGAAAGAGTGCCTGCAGTCCAGACAGGACATCACAGATCGATGGTGATTGCCCAGCAATCTCAGCTACCACCTCATAGCTCTGGACCATCACCTTGGTCCCTGTTTTTCCTTCCGCTTTCCTTGATCCTTTATGGCTTTCTGGTGCATGTTCTGGACTGAGGAAGCAGGCTGCTAGTTCTCAGTCACTTCAGGGCCACCTATGCTAACCCTCTTCCCCCCACCTCAAAGATCAAATATGTTGGGATTGACTTAAATTTGTCATGAAAAGTGGTTTATCAGCCAGGTCATCTTCTGCTTTTAAATCAAACACTTTGATAGCCCAGTAGTAGATGAGGTCCAGGAATGGATCTGACTGAGTCCTTCATCCTGCGAGAGGGAAGCAGGCAGACATGCCCATGCAGAGCCGGAAGACAGACAGTGAGTTCTCACAGACACATCCACCCACACCGCTGCTCCCAGAGTTGGCTTAGGGCCACAAAGGTTAGCAGATGACCTCGCTTCATTATCTGAACTGAGAGAAGACTAAATGGTAAACCAGAAGGAAAGTGATAAAGGTTACAGCTAGGTATAATGGAAAGAACTTTTAAAAACTTTTTAAAAACAGGGATTTCAACCTGTCTGCTCGGCACCCCTGAAAGATTCTCTGACAGACTGGGGACACCCCAAGTGCACTAAAACCTGCCCTGGAAAGGAAGTGTCATATGCTGTAACAGTGATGAAATGCATGACAATGATGTCTCAGGAATTTGTAGTCTCGCAGGGTTGCAACAATAGAGTGACACAGGGTGGGGTGCTGCAGCTTTGGGACATGCTGGTTTGCCTAAATATGGTGTGTAGAGGTGCCACAGAACACACAAGGCGTCACTGGCAGCATGACGACGTGCCTCAGTGCACGGGCGGAGCAAAGCAACATGATGTAACCAGGCGGTAAGCGGTGCCGAGAGGGGCTGTGCCGAGCCCCGGTGTCTCGCCCAGCCCCGCAGGGTTACAGATCTGTGGGACGCCCTAGGGGGAAGCAAGCTGGGCTGCGCATGGTGATGTAACAGGTGGTGGCTCTGGGATGGGTGACGTCATTGTGGGCCAGGTCTCACACCCGTGACACTGTGGCACCCACTCTGAGCAGGAGCTGAGGGTGGCAGAGCCAGAGTGGGGCCGCAAAGCGACGTTCCCTCGTGTGGACAGCCACCTCCCGCTGCACGAGGCACTGCAGTGACGCCACTCGGGGGGCGGGGGTGGGGGGGGGTGTTGACGTCACGGCCCCGGTGGTGACGCCACCACGGCGCTGTCACACGGGAGGGGCGGCGCCGTCCTGCAACGATGCCCGCACAGGACAGGCCCTTACCTGCCGGTGCCTGTCGCCCGCCTTGGCTGGCATGGCGGCGGCCGCCGCGGCTCTCCGCCACCAGCCGCGCCTCACCGCAGCCCCGCGGCCAACCGCCGGCCGGAAGTTGATTGCTGTAACCATGGCAACGCGCCGGAAGCAGCCGAGCGGCCAATCCCCTTGGCTAGTGTCCGTCCTCCCCCCACCCCTTTGAAGTGACCGCGCTCCCCCCCCCCCCCCCCCCCCCGAAGGAGGGAATGGTACATCCCCGCGGCGGGGAGCCGAGCATCCGGGCTCCCGGCTCACTGACAGTGGCCCCGCCTCCCCGCCGCGAATCGGCAAATCAGGGGCGGGGCGGCGGCCGGCGGACCCGGAAGCGGCGCGGCTGAGTCACCCAGGCGGCGAGCGGCGGCGGCGATGAGGCAGCAGCTGCCGGCGTCGTCCCCCGGCGCCTGAGGAGCCTCCCCGCGCCCTCCTTGCCTCCTTCCCTCCCGCCCCGTCGCGCCCCAGCCCCGCCGCCACCATGATGGAGGAGATAGATCGGTTCCAGGTGCCCGCCGTGCGCGCCGAGATGCAGCCGCTGGTGAGGGGCGGGCGGGCGGGGCCGCGCTGTCCCCCGGGAGCCGCCCGCCGCCTCACCGGGGGGGGGATCCGGGGCGGGGGCGAAGCGGTGTGTGTGTGCGTGGGGGGGGGGGGGTGGGGGGTGCTGAGGTCGGGCCGCGGCCGTTATGTAACGACCCTTCCGTGCCGCCATCCCCGCCGGGGCCGTGCCCACCGGCGGCTGCTGTGTCATCTCGGGGCGCCCCTGGCCACGGCTGCCCGCCCGACCCTTCCGCCCCGTCCCCCTCCTCATCCTCCCCCGGACGCTGTCGGTAGCAACGGCAGAAGCCGCCGGCGGGGAGGGCGGGGGCGGGCGGGGCGGCTGCGGATCCGTTCCTGGAGACCTCCGTGGAAACGTCGCTTTTCCGAGCGCGGCGGCGGCGGCGGCCCGGAGCATCCCGGCCTGGCTGGCACATGGGGCGGGTGTTCCCCGCCGCCTCGGCCGGTGGGTCCCAGCGCCGGGCACGGGGGTGCCCCGGGAAGGGGTGGGAAGCGGCGTTGAGACCGGGGCGGGGGGGGGGCCGGCCGGGGACGGGTGTTGGCGGTGAGGACTGGCGGGGTTTTAGCTGGCTTTGACAAAATACGCGAGATCTGGGGGTAGAATTAGGCAGTGTTTTGGCATAGCCTGGTCTGGGAGCTGCGGGGAGCGGGCGTCCCCAGGGACGGGGTGGCTGCACGGGGTGGGTGTGAAACGCGTCTGGTGTGAAGCTCAAGGACCTTTTCCGTGGATGGTTTTACAGCTGTTTGCTCTCGGTGCAAAGCTGCTGTTAGGTGGTCATTGTGTGAAAAGTCCAGGTGTTCTGCAAAGAAACATCTCTGTCAAATTAGTTTTGCTCACATCAAATTATTTACATTAAAAAAAGCAACCTGTGAGTGTTTGATTCCTCCCACTCCTCCCATGACAGGGCATGTGGTTTTCGTATCAGGATGTTTTTTCACTTCACAGACACAATTATACTCAATTAATGATCTCTGAAGAGATTGACATAATGGTTACACTGCTACATGGGACCCTGGGGAATATTTGCAGAGAAGGAAGTATGCCAGCTTGTGTGACTTTGAAGCTGTGTAAATGGGCAGGTAGAGTGGTCCCAGGCTTTTGGCGGCTTCTGAAATGACACTTAGGAAGGAAGACCAGATGGCTGGCAGCCATGGGAGGTGCTAGATCATCACCAAGTAGTCCAGGACTTCTTATGAGCATGTAGCTGCTTTGCTTTGATGCAATAGGCTTGCTTGTTCTATGTGTTATGCTCCAGCTGTATGCTTCAGAACGCTTTGATGTGTTTATCCATTTCTGTTTTACATCTGGCAGAGGTTCTCTTGTCTGTTCCTCTCCCCTTACTCCTGTCTGCTTCACTATCTGCTTGAAGGTGTGTTGTTATGCGTAACCTGGGACCTGTTGAAATACAGTTCACCTTGGCATTACAGTGAAAGCTGGATAATGGGCTGACTCACTCAAGATGTTTATTCCCTTTGGTACCTGCAGTAAGAAAATTCCATCTCGTTACCTGATTATGTGAGACATGGATCTGATGTGTTTGGAGAGGTGGAAAGAACTTTAATGAAATACTTGCACAGGTCTTTTTGACAGCAGGTGAGGATAGGTTATTGGCAGGTTCATGTTAGCACTGAAGATACTACTGAGATTTCTATTATATCACACTGTACATTCGTTAGAGTTGATGTACCAATCCTCAGTTTCTTGTTGGAGCTAGTGTTTGTAAACAATTGACAATACAATAATTGCTTTGCAAACAAAAAGACTCATTCCGAAGGTCTACAAACTCAAATTACCCCTCAGGTGTAAGAAAAAACACTTTTCTTATGGTGGGACTGTTGACAAATTGCAAAAACATTTTTCACTTGTTTAGTGTTGTTTTTTGGTTCTTTAGCTTCTAACCTTTGTGGTGGGGAAGAAAACAGTCCATACAGGCTGATGTGTACTTGTTGCATGCCCTACTTGTTGTGTGTGTTTTCATTAGGGGCAACAGATGTGACAAGGCTGGCCCTCTTTATTCATGTTGTTGAGGGCAGTGGGCATAGTAATGAGATTAGCAAGTTTTGAAAGCTATTGGCAGACAAAAATATACTCCAAAGTATTTTCTAGAAGCCCCATGATAATAGTGGATGAGTGGAATTGGCACATGCATGCACGTTTGCATGGACATGGAGTAAGCAGAACCTGGTCCAACCCTGCTGTCTCAGGATAGGATGGTATATTGTGCAGCAGTGATAGTAAGCTTAGGAAGCAGGTTTCCTTCCCTTCTTCAGCAGCCAAAAATTTGGAAATTTTCACAAAGAGCTCTAACACTTGCATTAAAAGAATACTCTGAACTTGTGCTTCAGGGTTTCAGATGATTTTTAACTAATGGAGTTCATAGTGAAACTTTGTGTGTGTGAGGGGCTGTTGCTGTGACTGGGTGTGTAAGATTCTCCTGCATGCCTGGGCGTGCTGGCATCGGGCTTGGAACTGGGACAGAACAAATCTGGTATGGCATTTTCAGTGGTTTCCTCTGTTTTGTAGCTCCTGGTCTGCATCTTGCAGTTCAGAAGCTGGCTGGGGTTTATGATACTAATTTGCTTGCATAACACCGTTCTGTCCAATACTTCTGCTTTGTTCTATTACAGTTGCCATTTGTCCCTCCCCTCTCCCTCCCATCCTATACTTTAAAGTACAGAATAACCTTAGCATCTTCGGACTTTCTGTTTCTTCTTCCCAGTGTAAAAACTTTCAGTTCCACATGGTCTCAGGGAGAGCTGAGACTGGCAGTCTTTTCCACATCCAAAAGATGGGTAGAAGTTTGTTTTCTGAGTGGAACCTAAGAGTCATTGTGAACTGCCACTGAAGCTGTAAAAAAAATAAAATGTTTTGAAATGTGATCCCCTGTTGAAAGCAAATAGAGAAGAGAAGGTCCCTTGCTTGATTTGAAGTTCATACTCTATATGAAATATTTTTTCGTCATGTTCAGGCTAGAGGGTGTCCTAGGAGAGCAGTGTTCCCCCTGAATTTGGCCAGTATCTGGCAGTATGAGAAGAATCCTGAAGTGAGGTTTGTGAAGCTAGCCTTTGCTCGAAATCCTTAAAAGCTTTGTGTTGTTGACCAGCACGCACGCTTCTGAATGTCTTGTTCATCTGTGTAGATAACGTGTCATCTTAGCTTTTGATGTCTTTATGCTGAACTCTAGGATAACTGCCAGTGATCTGCCTAGAAACTATCTGACAGACAGGCCTGCTCATCTGCTGATGTTCAAAATTAAGAGATAGCTATGGCTATCTAATTAAGAGATAGGTTAAATGCTGAAGGGAAGCCATTCTGAAAGTGTAATCTGAAGCCTTTCTGATCCTCTCAGCAGCCAAAACTGCCTCTGATACTGGCAGTGTTGTTCAGCTCTCTGTCAGGGGTGATGGTACACTAATGTCTGGTTTCCAATGAGTGTGTATCCTGACAATAACTAGTGTTGTGTGTACTGAGCAGGGACACAGAACCTGACACATCCCTGGCTCTTTGGAAGTGTAACTTCTTTAAAGCTCAAATGTGTCTGGTTGGGGAACCATCTCTCTTTGACAGCCTTATCCAGCCAAGGGCTGCATTGGCATCTCAATGAAAGGCTAAGGGCAGCACCTAACTATTACAGACTGGACCTGTGTGGAGTACTGCTTGCTCTGACAAGGCCTACCAGGATATCTGGTTGCTGCAAGTTTCTCTCTGCTAATAACAAGTCAGATAAGGGTTGTGTTGCAAAGCTGAGAAGCATTTGGTCTGCAGGCTGCACATTGGCCAGCTCTGTCATATGGGACCTCCTACCCTTTGCATCGGATGCCATGATGTGAAGTTAGGAAGGGTGGTGAATTATTTCATCCTCTCTCCAGCCTGTTTGGATAAGCACTGCAGAGTCAATCAAGCTGTCTTGACTCTGCTTGGCTTCTACAACTGTGTTATGGGAACTGCTATGTGCTAATGCAGACCCAAGGAAAGGCTCAGCACAGGACTTAATGAGAGGGAGTTGCTGTGGGCAGATGGACAGGATGACATGCAGACTCTGGTTAAACGTTGGCAGGTTGTAAGATGTGAAACACTGAGACCCAGTGTTTCACATCTTTGCAAGACACGTTACTCTGCATATTTTGATATTGTGGCACAAATCTGTACATATTTATCACTGAAGGGAAGAAAGGCTGCTAACCAGCACTTGGTCACATTCACATGGCACCTTTCCATGAAAATGGGACGGACTATTCTGATCCCCATTTTCTGTCTTGGATACTGATGGCTTTTGGCTTCCATCCTAAAAATGCCTGCCTCTTCAAATTAAGATAAACTAATTTACAAGGGGTTTTGTTTACTTCTAATGATTAGTATCATGTCTTCCCTATCAATATGATGCAAGCTCAACTGCGGAAACTCTGTTCTGCTTAGTTTCTATCTGATCTTTTTGGCTTGTCACAATCCTTCACTCACAAAAAGGGCTTTCTTCATTAGCTGCTGGGTAATGGGTTCATTTTGGATAAAGTAAATTCCCAGCATTGCAGGGATGCATGGTGTGATGAGGCCTGAAATTCATTATTTCTGGGCCACTTACACTTGATAGGTAGCTATTTTGACTGATGAAGTTGGTATTTCATGTGTTAACTTCCAACTAGGCAATTTTTCCCAGTTTGTTGGTGGTGGTGCATTGTTGTGATGATTAATGCTGTTTCTTTTCTATGTTTTTTTGTCAGGAAGGTTTATTAACATGTAATTCTTGTTACAGAGGTAGATATTAAAGGGAGAGAGAGATGAAGGGACACTTGCACAGTGAAGATACTGCAGAGAAAAAGAATTAAAATACTCTTTGGAATAGAAATGGGGAAGCCTGTAATTATAGATAGACCTATCTTTTCAGCACTGGACCCTCACTACATGCTCTGCCTGTGATTTACAAGTCTGTGTTTTGTGGTGTTAGCTGAACCCTTGCAAAATCCTTACCGTTTTTGTTGAAATGA